CTTTCTTTATAAGGTTGGTCTTATCCAAAGGTTTCCTTCCTGCATGTTCATGGAATGGGTGAAAGAAGAATGGGACCATGCCAGGGGATTGTGATCCTGATGTATCTACTATTTGATGGCCACATGTTCTCCTGAACACCTGAAAGGAACCCTCCTAACCACAGATAGCTGTACAGGGGGGCTCCCGGAAAGATTGGGAATGCATTCGGTGGGAAACACGACCTCCTTTATGTGTTCTGCTGAGCCCAGCAAATATTAGAGGGACATGGTCAGAGGAACGCATTGGCTTGGGGAGCATGGCTTATTTATTGCAGACTGGCCACATTCCCAGCGATGATGACAGACTGCAACTCCAAGAGAACATTTGGCCTGCATTCAGTTTAAGGCGTGTTTAACCAAAATTGTACGAATTGTAGCTCCCAGAATCCCCTGGAAAGTACAGAGAGTTTGGTGTTGTAGTCCAAAGAAACATTGAAAGAAAGAAAGAGAGAGGAACTTTTCCAAACTGTGCAAATTATATGTGGCAGGGAAAAGAGAAACAGTACTGGGAACGATTCAAGCAGCTGAGATACCACAAAATAGAGCTTTCAATGAATCCATTGATTATTGTTATCTATGGGATCAATGTTTATCCACTGATGGGATGCATCATGCCAAAGGACCTAGCTCTCCCTGGGAGCTATGGGGTGGGGGGAACTATGTTTTTCCAGCACATACGTGTTCCTGAATCCATCTTTTTCTAGGTAATGGGAATGCAATGGGGTAGTGGGCGGCAGCAAAATGCAGGCAGCAGAAAATGCATTTAATCTGTCCTGTTTCCATTACTCATTCCAGATGCTGTTATTCGGTCAGAACCAAATTAACATCCCAGTCCTATTGGCTTTTGTACATGGGAAAGGATGCCATCTTCTTCTTTGCCTCAGATGGGCAAATGAATTGGCTGACATTGCAAGACAAGTTCTTTTATGGCTTCATCCCTGTATGTAGATATTTCCCCATACCCTACATCACCAATATGAGACAAGTCACCACACAGAGGGTGCATCTACACGGTAGAAATAATGCAATTTGACATCACTTTAAATGCTGTGGCTCCATCCTATGGAAGCCAAGAATTTCTAGTTTTATAAAGTCATTAGCTTTCTCTGCCAAAGGGTAGTGGTGCCTCCACCAAAATAAAAATCCCAGGGTTCTGTAGGATGGAGCCGTGGCTATTAAAGTGGTGTCAAACCGCATGATTTCTACAGTGTAGATGAGCCCAGAGAAGCCTTGGTTTGGTTTGTCAATGTCACGTGAAACAACCTTCTACATTTTGTGGTAACATTCCCACCCCTCCTGACTCCATTTTTGAGGCCACTAGTTCAGAGAAACACTCTCCCTAAAAGAAAATGGCAAATAGAAAAGGAATATTAAAAAGATTCTTAATTTTTGTAGACTTTATACTTTCCCCTGCTTTCAACATGGTAGAACTTATATTCAAGTAAACACGGCTGCAATTGTGATGCCATTCCCCCCGTTTCTGAAATTATCCCATTTTATTTTATTTTATTTTATTAAAGGTTTTTTGGTAAACACTCTCTCAAATAGAAAGTTGGACAAAAAATTAAAAACAAGCCCACCCTTTCTCTCTCTCCCAAGTGAAAAAAGAAAAGAGTACTATAGGTTGTAGGACTCAAGTGTTGATCTAGTGCAACAGAATCACCTGTCCTGGCAGTATATCTATATCTATATTTTTATATATAAGATAATTTGTTCAGTTCTTATTTAAGAAAAACATACACACACATGTGGGGTTGCTTTCCTGATACTCTCTCTCCCTTTGAGCCTTTATAGGGCCTTGATTCTCTCTATTATTAAAAAAATTATTCTCATTATCAGTAAAGAAAAGAGGAGACTGAATTTTTACCCCCACTTGCATGCCATGTTATTCTTGCATAAGGTGGGGTTTTGTCCACTTCGAGCGTATGGTGCCGCCATATTGAATCTGCCTTCCGGTACATTCTAGAAACACTTTTATTAACACTGGATGTTCACAACACTTTGAGGCTGGCAATGGGTTCTCAGCCCATGCCATTCAGTGGTTATTGCAATGGCATTTCTTTTTTTTGTAAAAAAAATAACAAAACAAAACACACCCTACAAACCACACTAATTTCTCAGGCATTCCTATGGCACTTGCATTGTTCTGCATAATTCGAACTGGATTTTCTTTGTTTGTTTGTTTGTCTGATTTAGTGCAGGGAAGAGACCAGAGGGGGAAAAATGCCCTTGAGGACAGTTAGAGGGTCCTAGGTCATATTTCTGATTCTCTTCTGTAGGACCTCTGATCCAGAGCAACAGTAGCCTGAAGCCTATCAAATTCAGGTTGGTTGTCCGAACCCGGATCGTCCAAAGCTCTGCTATCGTCTTCTTCCTCTTCCTCCTCTTCCTCCTCCTCATCGCGGCTTATGAAGGCAAGCTCATTCTCGTAACAGAAAGAGTTGGTGCCTGGGAGGAGGAACTTGTTTTCCAGCAAGTCCTTGGCACTGCAACAGGGAGTTGATGGGACCTCGTAGGTCTTGTGGAAGTGGGAATAGTCCACTTTGTATTGATTTTTCTCCTCAAACAAGACCGGCTCGAAGCGATGGCCCCAGAGGATCTCGCTGGACAAGTATGAGCTCCGAGCTTGCGTCGTCATGGCGGTGGCTTCCACCATTCCTTCGAGAATGACCACGATTTCAAAATCATCGGTTTCCAAATCCTGCCGGCTTATCCCAAAGAGCGGGCTCTCCTCGTTGATCTCGTGGAGGATCGTGAGCGGGGAGACCAAGAAAATACGGTCCAAGCCTTTGTCAAAGCCGACGTCAATGTCTATTTGGTCGAGCGGGATGTATTCCCCCTCTTCGGTGATGCGGGACTTAATGAGTTGAGCTCGGACGTGAGCTTCCACAATGTGGCTCTTGCGCAGATTGCCCACTCGCCACATCAGGCAAAGTTTGCCATCCCTCATGGCTATGACGGCATGGTGGCTGAAAAGTAAGGTTTCGGCCCTCTTCTTGGGCCTAGCCATTTTCGCCATGATTGCCCCAATCATGAACGAGTCAATGATACACCCCACAATGGACTGGAGGACCACCATGAAGACAGCAAGCGGGCACTCTTCCGTCACGCAACGGAATCCGTAGCCTATCGTCGTCTGAGTCTCAATGGAGAACAAGAAAGCAGCCACAAAGCCATTCACTTGAAGGAGGCAAGGCGTGAATGTTTCATCCTTAGTTGGCTTCTCTATGTCACCGTGGACAATGGCTATTACCCAAAATATAAGACCAAACAACAACCAGGACACCAGAAAGGCAAGCGAGAAGAGCAACAACATATATCTCCAACGGATGTCCACGCAAGTGGTGAACATGTCCGCAATATACCTCTGGGGTTTATCGTCCATGTTGGTGAACTCCACGTTGCACTGGCCATTCTTCTTAACAAACCGGTTCCGGCATTTCCTCCTTGTGTGGATCTTACCGTTGCCAAAGCCATTGACTCCAGGCATGGTGGTCAAAGTCAACCCCTCTTCCTCAGAGGATACTATGCTGTATGGGTTGACTCGGACTGTACTCATCCCTGAGGCGAGAAGCAGTCTGGGGTTGGAAGGTCTCTGGATTCCTTTAGGATCTCACCTTTTTCCTCCTCCAAATAGTACTGCTGGGGAAAAATGATCTTCAGCTTCTGAAGCAATGCAACCAGATGGAATCCAATAAGTGTCTCTGTAAGGAGAAAACACAAATACATGGATTATCTCTACAAAAAGGGAGAGGAGGTGGGGGAGAAAAGGGAGTGGGTTCCAGGAACTATATTTGGAGAGAAAAGGAAAACCAAATAGTGTGGTGGATAAATCATATATCAAATAAGGAAAGTTTCACATTCTTGGTGCAAGTTCAGAAAAAGAACCAAATGCGTACTGGGTATAGAATTATACACATACACACACAGCTACTGCATCTGAGAAAGCAAACCAAGTCTGCAAAAGCTTATACAACTTCTTTGGCACAACCTCAAAGGTGCTACAAGTTCCCTTTGCATACTGATATCCCAGACTAACATGAGTATATATGTCCTAGAATTCTACATACACACAGAAAGAGAGAATCTTAATTTTCCATTTTTTACAAGCTATTTCCCATTGCTATGTATGACTGTGAAAGTCGGACAGTGAAGAAAGCCAGACGGGAAGAAAATAAATTCATTTCAGATGTGGTGGTTGGACTGGATGGCCCTTGTGGTCTTTTTTTAGTTGCATGACAAGAAAGTCCTGCTGAAATTCCCTCTTCTCCTTGAGGTTGTGTGCCTTCAAGTTATTTCCAATTCATGGAGACCCTAAGAAGACTATTGCATGGCTAAATAAAATGGTTTACCTGAACCGAATTTAGCTTTAAATCAGGCTGCATCCAGATCTTATCACAGCAATTTTGCTGCTGAAATCGCCATCCAAATCCATCCCAGGTCCATCCCCACTTCCAGGAGCGCTCCAGCAGCCATTTTTTCAAGCCAGAAAACTCCTGGTTTTGAAAAGAGGTGCCTGGAAGCAAGGATGGACTCGGGCTGCATTCGGGTGGCGATTTTGCTGGCAAAATCGCTGTGATAGGGTCCAGATGCAGCACGCTTTAAGATTAAATTCGGTTCAGGTAAACCATTTTATTTTAGCTTTGCAATAGTCTCCGAAGACAAAGCTCTTACGGGGAATGTGAAGTTGAAGGCTTTCATGGCCAGCGTCCATAATTTTTTTTGTGTGGGTTTTTCGGGCTACGAGGCCGTCTTCTAGAAGAATTTACTCCCGACGTTTCACCTCCATCTGCGGCTGGCATCTTTAGAGAATTTCTCTGAAGTTGCCAGCCACAGATGCAGGTGAAACATCAGGAATAAATTCTTCTAGAGCACGGCCTCGTAGCCCGAAAAACCCACAAAAAACTCTCACGGGGATTTCTGGGGCTGAGAGAGTATGACCTGCCCAAGGTAGGCTTCCATGGCTGAGCGGGGAAGTGAACCTTGGTCTCCAGAGTCCTGGTCCAGTGCTCAAACCACTATGCCACGCTGGCTCTCCCTCTTCAACACACCCATCAGAGGAGCTCTCTCCAGTTTTCAGTTTGGCAACCCTAGCAGTTAGGAGGACAATTGTTGAGGACAGCAAATGGTGCATGGTATGCATTTGTGCCAACCAGGCTGTGGCAGGGAGAGGAAACGCAAAAGTTTGTGACACGGCGAGGCCCATAAGATGAGCATTAGGCACCTTTTGGAAGCCACAGGGCTCAGTGATGTGCATTGGAGCTGGGAGATCTGGGCATGTTTGTTGCTCTGTATCTCTTTGCTAGACGAGTCAATAGAATCGATGCCTGTAATCACTGCCAGGGCCCCCGGGCAAGAAATGTAACCAAAACATCCTTGCGGTCACATTGAGGGGTCGGCGCTGCAGAAACAGCACATCCCAGCAAGGCAAAGCCACGTCAGTTCAAGACGTCAATGCATCTTTGCCATCCCAACATACCCAAGCATGATGGAAACATTGCTTTGGGGGGACTATAACTCCCCAGATCCCCCAGCCAACATCTCCAGCAGCCATGCTGGCTAGGAGATTCTGGGAATTGTACCCCCAACACCTAAATTTTCCAGGCGTTGGGAAACAATGGTATGCAGTAAGTTTTATATGTGGGCGTCTTTAAAATAATTTAGCTGGATTTGAACTGAAATTTTTTTAACTGGATCTCTGAGGTCTAATCTGCGCTCCAAAACTAATGCAGTTTGACACCGTTTTAACTGCCATGGCTCAATGCTATGGGATTTGTAGTTTGGAGAGATATTTAGCCTTCTTTGTCAGAGAGCGCTGGTGCCATGACAGACTACAAATTCCAAGATTCCATAGGGTGGAGCCATGGCAGTTAAAGCAGTATCGAACTGCATTAATTCTGCAGTGCAGACCTAAGTACCTGAAGGGATGTCATGCGGAAGACAAGCTTGTTTCCTGCTGCTTCGGAATATGAACCGAGGGATTCAAACGACAAGGAAGGAGACATTAGAACTGCATTATTGTAAGAGCACACATACACACACATTTATTTTAGTAAAATTGTAAGAGCTATTCAGCAGTGGAATGAATAATCTGCACAAGAAGGTGATGGAGTCTCCTTCTTTGGAGGTCTTCAAACAGAGGTCAGATGGCCATCTCTCAGGGGTGCTTTAGCTGTGAATTCCTGCATGGCAGGGGGTGGACTAGCTGTCCCTTGTGGTCCCTTGAAACTCATGATTTTATAAAACACACCTGGAAGCTCCTTTAAGCCTCTGCAGGATTTTCTTAACTCTCTTCGCCACTGCAGCAGCATCCGGAGATTTGGCGAGAAAAAAGAGAGAGCACAGGAGAGCTTTAATTGAATTTCTAGCTTAGCCCAAGAAGACCCTGTAATCTCTTTATATCCAACCTCTTGTCAATTTCCTCCTGTCCTTCTACTGTTTCTGATGATAGAGCTTAAATGGGAAGGATTTCTGGATTCTCTCTCCAATAGTGGAGGAGGTTTCAGTATGAACTTCAAAAGACCTGTCCAAGGTTCTGGATCCTAGGTCCAAAACACTGCTAGGGAATCCTGGGGATTGTAGTTTACTGTGGCACCAGAGCTCTCTACGACAGAGAAGGCGAAATGTCTCACAAAACTGCAGTTCCCAGACCTCTCTAGCATTGAGCCAGGGCAGTTAAAGTGGTCTCAAGTGGGATTATTTCTGCAGTGTGTTTTGGACCCTAGTCTCCAAATAGGATCATCATCACCACCACCACCACCACCACCACCACCACCATCATCATCATCATCATCCTACCTTCTCTGCCCATTGGGCAAAATGAGGACATTGCCCCACACACAACATTTCCCTTCAGTCCCCAAATTTCTAACATTAATTCAGAATTTAGTGCATTTACCAGGAGAGTTTAGCCATCCAAAGAAAAGAGCCAGGCAAAGTTGGCATCAGAGGGAATGTGAACACAGCAAATAGACGTTTTCTGAGTGTGATTTTTAGCATCTCGCTCTCCACAATGCTAGAGGAAATTTAGGGACAAGGGAAATTTCATTGAGGGGTGTGTGTGTGCATACTTTGTATCTGGAGGACCAATGCCCCTCTTCCTGCCCTTGTCCTGCTTCTGATCTGTTCCTGGATCTGGAATTTACTCCTGTCTGGATGGAAGAGGGAGAAACGATTCCTCTTTCTTTAAATCAAGCCCAAACACTTGCTAGAGAGAAGAAGATAGAAGCAATAGCAGTCATGATGGCAGACAGAGAGAGGGAGGAATAGGGGGAAATTTAATGAGCTCCAACCAAGTTTAGAGAGTCTTTATCTGATGAGTTTATTACTTAAAGGGGAAGGAATGACGTAACTTGGGGTGGTTGGAGGGATCATCAGGCTACCCGGGTCAATTAATCCTTCCTAATTCATTGCCCTTGGGGACCTTCCACGAAAAGCACCAGGCAACCGAAATTGCAATCTGTTTCAAGGCCGCTTTGGCCTTGGGGACTAGAGAAGAGCTAGGTTGGCATCAGAACATAGGTGGGTGGTTGGGTGGCAGGAACCGACCTGTCCTTTAGTAACTGGCTGATGTTGGCTCTGAGAGATGAAACCCATGAGAGCAGGTCAAGAAAGAAAGATCAGGTTCAAGATTTACACTTACAGTCGCCTCTCTGGATCCACGGATTTTCGTGGCTTGAAAATATTAAATGCATATATAAAATTCCAAAAAAGCTTGATTTTTGCCATTTGATATAAGCAATAATAACAGCAAGTACATCTCTATACCACTTGTCAGTGTACTCAAGCACTCCCTAAGTCAGGGGTAGGCAACCTTTTTGAGCCGGGGGCCG